TTTACGATTGAACCTTTTAATTACAATTAATTGAAAAACAAATATAAATGTGTACCAAATCGATTGAAATAATATTACACTTCTAATTCCATGATTCACATATGATACAATTGTCTTCTTGCTGACACCTATAGCTAATTTCTTTATTAACCTTCAGGTTTTTCCAAAATTCTATGAGAAATACCATTAAAAGTTTAACACTCCTTTTGGAAAAGTATGACAATGACTTCTCAGTACAGGACGCCCTCTGGAAAAATATGGCATTGCCTAATTTTTATTTTATTTTATTTTATTTGACAAGGGAAAATAAAAAACAAGAGAAATGGATGGCTGAAGTATAAATTACGACATTCAAATCATCCTTTTTCAAAAACCAGCATTGCAAAGCAAATAATGTCTTCTTCAAACTTCTTATTTTTCTCACTAGCTCTACTAATCCTCACACTCTCCCCCATACCAAATTTTGCTTCTTCTTCTTTAGAGGAAGCCAATGCTCTTCTTAAATGGAAAACAAGCCTTCAAATCCCAAACAATTCCTTGGTTTCTTCATGGAACTCCCTCCCTTTGAATTCTAGTGCATTAATTCCATGCACTTCTTGGTTTGGAGTAGTTTGCAATGCTGATGGGAGCACTCAAAGGCTAAACCTCAGTTCATGTGGCTTAAACGGTACACTCCACCAATTTCCATTCTCTTTGCTACACAATCTTACATATCTTGATCTCACTATAAACAACTTCTTTGGCCCCATCCCACAAGAAATCCGACTCCTCTACAAACTTGTATATCTGGATTTTTCAGTGAATAAGTTTTCTGGAGTAATCCCACCTGAAATAGGAAACCTGCGCCAGCTAACCATCTTATGCATATATTCAAACAATATATCTGGCACAATTCCTTCATCATTGGGTAATTTGAAGTCTCTCACTAAGCTTAGTTTGAGTGGTAATCAAATTAGTGGTTCTATTCCGTCAATGTTGGGTGATTTGACATCTTTGAATGTCCTTTATTTGTTCCGAAATCTACTCTCTGGTCCCATTCCTATTGAACTTGGGAATTTGAAGTCTCTCACT